CTGCTCCTTGTTAATGAAGAACTCTCCAATGGTGTCTCTAGCCTTCTCCTCATTTTCTTCTACACTAAGAATTGCCTCTAAAGTTGCCTCCCTAGAATGGAATTCCTTTTCTTCAAAAAGTGCATCATATTCCTTTTATAGGTAAGTCAAGTGACACACCAAATGAGCTGGGGTCCTGCACCCAATATTCTCTAATGATTGGAGAGAGGGCAATTTTAATAAGCTGGGATTTTAACTTTTTGGTACTGGAGGGAGTTCGATCGATCGAACCTTGTACTTCGATCGATCGAACTTGGGTAAGATCTATCGAACAAGGCTGGATCAATCCAACTGGGTGAGGTTTTTGGGAAAAGACAAATCCGAGATATTTTGAAGATATTTATGGGGAAAAGGACAAAAGTGGTAGGTGGGTGGACAGTTGTGGATTAGATCAATCATTTGGATGAGGACAAAGATGTTCGATCAATTGAAGTATAGTGTTGGATCGATCGAACTTTGGGCTTTCTGTTTTGGGTCAAGGTTTGGATCTATCTTGAAGTGCTGAGATCGATCCATGTTGGATCGATCGAGAATCTTGAATGACCACCTTTCTTCCTTTTTACTTCTTTCTTTCTCCACTTTACTCCTTTCTTTGTTTAATCCCAGAATTGCTCCTTTTAGGCTCTTATTTGGCTGAATTAGCTTATTTTCGGGATAAGTGCCTGAAAATGAAATTAACACGAAATTAATCTAAAACGGTAAAGTAAGATAGATAAAGGTTTTAGAATACCTAAGCTTAACGGGTTTAAATACGCACTTTTCAGTGCTCATCAACTCCTATCCTTTAAAATTTTGACAGAGACATTGTACAAAGCAAGAAAAACGCATGAGCAAAGTAACAAACACACAGACATGAGCTTGGTCAATATAAAACAAAATTGATATACACACGTATAACAAAAATCAGTTAATTAGAGTAAGAAAGCTACTGAATGCGAGTCCCAGACTTTAAGGCAAACATTTTTTAGGGTTTTATGTTGATTAGGTTTGCAGAGAAGGCCGATTTGAAGAGAAGGGCGACAATGGCTTCCTTTTCTCCTCTCTGTGTCTCTGCCGCGAATGAAGGAAGGTGGATTAGGTTTGGCTGTGTGTGGGTGATGTAAGAGATAACAATCCCTATCTAGTTGTGTTGTCCAAATGTTATTGGTCGGTTAGATTTTCTGTGCCACGTCAATAAGTGAAAATGATATCATCCACCAAACTGCGTCGTTTTATTAAAAGGGCAACTTAGTCTTTTTTCTTTTCCGATGGCCTGAGTGGGCAAATTGCAAAAAATTAAAAGTTCAGGGGGGTTTCTTGTAGTTCCGGGGGGTTAGTTGCAAAACCCCCATAGTTTAGGGGGGTTTTTTGCACTTTTCCCTTATTTTAATTGTGAAAAGTATTACTGTATTACAAAGAGTCAAACGCCTAACATGTTTTTAATCGACCCCTTTTTAATTCCATACTCTCCTTGTAGCATCCCATAATTTATTGGTAAAGTTATTCACCACACTTGAAGCATCTTCTACACATAATTAGAGGTTAACGGGTAGGAAAATATTATTTGGATTATCAAAGAAAGAACATTTTGTTTTCTTGTTGAAGATACCAGGTCCATAGGTGGAAGAGAGGATGTCAACAAACATGGGAAGTTGCGATAAAGCAAATAAGGTTACCGGAACACTTGCAGGCAAAGTGATTGGAGTAGTAACCCATCTAATTCGTTCACCGAGCACAATAACAAGAGTGGTACTAAAAGTTACCATCATGGCGGCAATAGATAACAAAAGGGTAAAAAAGACCAATTACCAGTCTGTTCTTGAGGAAATCTTCTTTGGTACATCGTGAATTGAGAATGCTCACGAACATCAACAATGAAGTAACTGAAGAGAATAGAGATATTGCGTCTGCTATAATGAAAACCATAGAAGAGTTATGCCATAGGAACTTGGGGTCCCCTGGTTTCAGTGACCTGTGGCGCCCTAAATCCTTTGGTTCATCTGCATTGCCAGCAGGTAAAGTGAAGGTTGCAGCAAACATAACAGTGACAATGATGGCGACCACAATTGTAAAAGATCCTGCTGTAACTCTCATCCATTGTTCTCCTTCTTTCACTAAGTTATAGAGATACTTTGAGAACAAATCTGAAGGAGTGTCTCCATAGCTTGCTAGCAAGAAGTCTATATGAAGATGGTATCATCCCCTCCACCTCCTATAATGCATGCACGGTTAATGAGAAAGAATAAATTAAATTAACAATGAAAGTTGTAATGTTGGCGACTTTCGAAGTCAGATTGCATATATACAACTTTGACAAATTTTGTTCGACGAGAAATTATTGGTTACAGCATCTTATTGGTACAACCAACCAGTAGAAACATTCTATTAAAATAAGGTGGCTCCACAACAGTTTAGTAAATTATAAAAAAAACCAACTACTTTGCTTTATTGGAATGTTTCTATTAGTTCGTTGTACCAGTACTTCCGTTGTAACGAATAATTTCTCGAGAACGACACAGACCCACCTGAAAAAAGTTAAGGTCACGATTTATGACCAAGAGGGCATAGAAAGAGTTAAATCCTAAAATTAGAATGTTATGGTCCTGCAAACTAACATATAATTGCCGGGGGCGGTTCGAGCCTTAGGCGAGTTAGACAGTCGCCTAAGGCCCCAACCAATAAAAAGGCCCAAAAATATTATAGTTGCCTTGTATAGAATATATTGTAATTGTTTCCTAATTAAACACTAATTCTAAAAAAATTATCTCCTAAAATAACTCTTCTTTTTTTGTTTTCTCTCTCCTTATCCATTCACGACTTTTCATTCCAGAGAGAAATTATTTATCTCCCAAAATATCTCATTTTTTTTATTTATCTCCCAAAATATCTCATTTTTTTTCACAATTTCTCTCTCCTCCTCATTCATGGTTGTTGAGTAAACCAAACCTTAACTATTACACACACTTAATATGCGCCCAAATATTTATATTCTTAAATAATATATTTTTTCTTTGTCTATCTTTATACACGTTATTTTTTACACCAACACTATATATATATTTTTTGGGCAAGTTGTACCACAGTAATTATTTAGCCGTTGTATTGGGAAGTAAAGAAACTTTCCCTCTTTTTTTAGATTTTATTTTTTTTATTTTTTCTTCTTCCTAATCCTCACATTCATTCTCTCCTCCCTCAGCAAACTCAACAAATTATAAGTCATCTCATTTCTCAATCCTCTCTCATTATAACTTTAGAATTTTCTTTCTTCTCGACTCAATATTCATTAGTTTCAAATCTCAATTTGAACGCATTTTTCTTTTATTGAAGAATTTTCAAATTTCTAAATCAGATTCTTTTTCTTTAATTATTTTTTTGTTTTACTAACTTTTGTTATTATAAATTTGTATATATCTATATTTTTCATAAATTTGTATATTTGTTTGTGAGTTGTTTGTTTGTGAGTTGTGAGTCTTGTAACTATTTTTACCCATATTTTTTAAACCAGTGATGATTTTTAATTAATTATTATTTAATAATTAATATATTGCATATTATGATATGAAAAGGCCAATTTTTTTTTTTTTTTTTTTGCCTAAGGCCCCAAGTTACGTTGAGCACCTGATAATTGCTAATTATGTAATACTATATATTTGGAGCAAAATATTGTCCATTTTCAAAAATCTAAGCATGTATCCACATGCAAAATTTGTGTGCGCTCACGCATTCAATTTCAGCTAAGTCATTGCAATATAATGACAGGGTTCTTAATTTACATATTACTATATATATTTACTATATATTTATTCATGATGTATATAGAAAGCTAGCTAGCTAAGATTAATATATAGATTACCACGTACCTTGTACAATTGTAGTTCTATTTGCACTTTCAAAGCTGCATCTCGAGCTTGATGCTGCTTTTTTGAAGCTTCATCCGAAAGTAGTCCTCCTCCTATGCATTGATCATCTGTTTCAAAGGGACATGCAACTATATGTAGCATGCTGTTCGATTCTACAAGCATTCCAGTGATTTTGTTTCTTTTTTCAGCAGTTAAACCATATATGAGGTTCCATATTTTTCCTTGACGGGAAGCAAGTGCAATGTGAAATATGGTTCCACTTTTCTTATTCCCCCATAACAAAGCGGGATTCGACCTAAGCACTTCCTCAACAAATTCAATATTCCCACATTTGATGGCTATTTTTATCGCCTCAAAGTATACATCGACAAAACCACGATCAAAAGTCCATATTGGGGAACACATGTTGCTTGATCTCCATATTCATTTCTTCCTCAACACCTGCAACAATTCTTATCCAAGTAGAAAAATTTTAAAAATAATAATACCAACTATTGGGAAATTAAGTAGTTACCATATGAATAGAATTGTAGTAGTACTCTGGTTTCATACGTAGTGCTTCAGCAACATTTGATATTAATCGTAAGTCAATTTTTTTGCTTTTTATTTCAAATTTTCGTTTTGGTACTACCAAATTAAGAGTTTACCCTAAATCTTCCTATGAATTTGAGAGCTGTGGTTTATGTGCAAACTATAACATCATAAGCTATCCGTGTAGCAAAAATTGTTTGTTAGAGTAATTGATGAATTTAATTTTTGGAACTTATAGAATAAAGTTTAGGTCTAGACTTTGAGACCCAAAAAAAAAAGGTAAGTAAAAAAAAAAAAAAAAAAAAAACCACGATCAACCAAGTTTGATCCACTGTTCAAGGTGTAAGTATATGAATTCTAGACATGAAAATGGTGACAAGAATATAAAATTCCTATATTACTTATAAGGAAAGATTTAGGGTAAACTCCTATATACAAACTCCTATCACCCCAACATTAATTAGTTTCACCATTCTACAGGAAAGATTGCATGGTATATGTCACGCCCCAAAAATTCTAACACAAGAACCCTTGTCTTATACTAAAATCTAGTACGTGACTCACATCATACATCCACCAAAATCCATGATAAAATTAGTAAGAATACATTTTATTTATAAAAAAAATCCATCAATCCAAAGGAAACTTATTACATCCCCAACTAATTAAAACTCCACCAATAAAATGAATCTTATTATAAATTGTTTGCTAAGAAACAATAATAAAACCAAAATGTGAAAAATCCGGAAAATCTTCATCTCCCAATAAACCTCCTTTGCAAGCTAAATCCATGTGCACCTGAAAGAAATAAAGGGATGAACTCACAAGTTCAGCAAGAAATTGCCAAACACTATCATCGTTCAGCAAGTCAATCCTTACTTAAAATCCATATATATACATATATATAAGTGACCATGACATATCTACTAATCATCACCATTCTATAACATTAATTCAAACTGTGAACTTGTAACCCATCTAGAATTTAAATTACTAAAATTCCACTTATCTCACATGAGCCCCTGGCTCCCCTCATACCAGTTGGCGTTCTAATGCCAAAACCTCACATGAGCCCCTGGCTCCACTCCAAATAAATGGTGTGAGTTGCATAGTCCCTGACTACCAACTACACACATGTGGCTGGGTTGTACGTCTACTCACCCAGATGGCCCCTGACCACGTCCACATACTAAGGGCACATTTAGCCCAATGGCCATAACAAAAGAGTAATTCACTCCCGAAGACAGTCCCTGACTGTACACAACAAACTCATCATCGTATAAGTCCCAGAGCTCCAACTTGTTTAATCACATCAATTAAACACTAAATATACTTAATTAATTCTTACTCATAATATCATAAGTTTATCAAACACCTTAATTAATAATTAATTAAATACTAACATACCAATACCAACTCAAAAGTCCTAATTATAATAAATTGCAAACCTGTACTCTAAATTTTAACCTCAATATCATTCAAATTGTTCTGCCATTAACTGTACACATCTTCCTCAATACCCATTCTTATCCTATTATGCCAAAACTGATTCTTTACCATTTGGTACCCAATTGACCAAACATACAATATATATATAACTTTGTCTGTAGTCTGTACACACACAAGTAAAACCCCAAATCCACCCTCTGTAACGAAACTAACACCAAAGACAGAATTCATATAAACACTTCTGTGACGCACACAATTAATTTGATCACATGGTCCTCTAGTGGTTTCGCCACCATCATTACCCATATTTCCATCTTTCCCATTTATCTAACAATCAACAACCTCATTTACGTGCAAGAAATTTTTGCAAAGACTCCTATTGGCCAGCATCATCATTACCAGAAATTATTCAATGACCTATGTAAAAATAGATACATACCTATACCTTTTTCAACACCTACTGACCTGTGTAAACATATATACAGAAATTTAACAAAAACTTGCATCTGTACCCAGAATAGAATGATGAGTTCATCCATGTAAACAATCTGTAATGTGATTAATATATATATATATATATATATATATATATATATATATATATATATATATATATATCCGGTCAACCTTCAACTATAACCCACACACAATGATCAGATTTCATTAATCACTATATTATATAATTACACCAGATCGTTAATTCATATCATCAAAATAATGCTTTATCATTCAGATTCTTGCCTAACATGAATAACATTAAGCAGTCCACCAACTAGCCCTCTTACCATACTTCATAAATCATACTAGTAACATCACCCCTCTTTACAGGAAAACCCATAATAAAGAAACAATCTATTTTTGTATATAAGATCTAGACTGCAGATGAAAGAAATAGCAACTTTGATATTTAAGAAAAGTCACTTCCAGATTCAAGACCTATATATACAATTTCTACTACTCTAACCAAAATAAAACATCATGAGTGCTATAATTAATTCATAGATAATCATCCTACTATCAATCACATAATTATATACAGGATATAAGCAAGCATTAACTTGCCTGAAATGCAATCACCACTTGAGCTTTTGCTCGCTTCAAAACAACGAACGAACGCATAATAATCCTCAGAATAGCAACGTAGGTAAAAACTGAATACACAACTAGGTCTAGATATATCCATATATATATCCAATGGTTAGGTTCAATAAGAACTCTTTTAATTTTAAAAATAACAAAATGATAACTCTGTTATTCCCTTTTAAACACAATCACCTATTTATCTTTATTTTTTAAAAAAGATAATTCCTATATAACAATATGCGTCCATAAATATATATATACACTAATAATAAATTACGGGATATTACAGTATATAACTGGAGTTCTTGAATTGAATCAATGACTTGTAACACAGTTTCAATAAAAATGAGTAAAAAAATGTTTGATTCCAACCATATATGTTCTCTCTTTTATTTTCAGGAGAGAGGCATTATTCACCTAGATAGAAAATTTAAGAAAAAATGCCCATTGCATCTTTCAATCTGAAATATAACCATGCTCTTATTCTGCTTAAAGCATCATCATTAATATAATTACAAGTACAATTAGTAAGTATGTTGAACCATGACAAGAAATAGATATGCATATGACATAAGTGTTTCACCACAATCATGAATTGCATATTAACTATACCTCATTGTGATTTGGAGGCTCAGGAGCATAGTCATTCGGGTTGTTGAAGAAGGAATATTTTGTTTTCCGGTTGAAGATACCGCGTCCATAAGTAGATGAGACCATGTCAATAAACAGGGGAAATTGCAGTAAAACGAATAAGGTTGGGAAACTAGCAAGCAAAGTGACTGGAGCAGCAACCCATCTAATCAGTTCGGCCAGCACAATAACAAGAGTGGCACCAAAAGGCTACCATCATGGTGGCAATAGATAAGAAAAGGGAATTGCAAGACAAATTATCAGTCTGGTGGGTAATGACTTGAGGAAATCTTCTTTGGTAAAGCGTGAAGTGAGAATGCTTACGAACATTAACAATGAAATAACTGAAGAGAATAGAGAGAATGCATCGGATATAATGAAAACCATAAATGAGTTTTGCTTTAGGAATAAGGGGTTCCCCGAATGATCATCAGTGCCACCTGGTAATGTGAAGGCTGCTGCAAACATAACAGTGACAATAAGAGCAGCCACGATTGTAAATGATCTTGCTATATCTCTCATCCATCGTTCTCCTTCTTTGATCAATTCATAGTGATAGTTTGAGAACAAATTTGAAGGAGTTTTTCCATTCTTGTTAGCAAGAAGTTTGTATGAAGATGGTACCATCCTCTCTGCCTCCAATCATGCATGGTAAATAAGAAAGAACAAATTAAATTAACAATGAGAGTTCCAATAAGTACTATATACATTCAATCTAGCTAGCTAGAAGCTTATTAATTTTCACAATTTAATTATGAGTCGATAGAAGGGCTTAAAGACATTACTCACTAGCTAACATTGATTTATCCATTTGCAAAAATCTTTAAGGTGTAAAATGCATTATAAGCACGTATACGACTATTCTCATGCAAAATACTTGGTTAGTGCATTTGAGTGTGCTCTCGTGCAATTTCATCTAAATCATTGCAATATAATGACAGATTCCTTAATTTCAGATATACCATTTACTTCTATGTTTGATATATAATAATTAAATTATATAATTTTCCCAAAAATTACATGGAAGTTTTAGGAACCAATGATATATATTGAAAGCTAGCTAGCTAAGATTAATAGATTTCCACATACCATGTACCATTGTAGTTCTCTCTGCACTTTCATAGCTGCGTCTCGAGCATTTACTGAATACCTTCTGGAACTGTTGATCTCCTTTCAGCCTATTTTGAAGCTTCTTCTCCTATGTACTGATCGTCCATTACTAGTGGGCATGCAGCTATATGTAGCATGTTGTTCGATTCAACTAGAATCCAAGTAATTTAGTTTCTTTGTTCAGTATTTTCTCCCGACGGGAAGTACGTGCGATGTGAAATATTGTTCCGCTTCCCTTATGCCCCATATCAAAGCAGGATTATTCAACAAATTCAACATTCCCACATTTGATGGCTCTTTTTATCTCCTCAAAGTATGCTCCAACATGTTTTGAATCAACAGTCCATATTGGGGAACACATATAGCGGAGTAGTTCATAGGCCTTCTCGTTTTCTATCTTCATAGGCAATTTTATTGTCCTAGTAACTGCAATTCTTATCCAAGTAGAAATATCAGGGAAAAAAAAAATTAAATAGAAAAAAAGTATTGGGAAAGAATGCAGTAACTTTATGAATTGTAGTACTCTGCGTACCTATTATTTCAGGAAGTAGAACAATTAGGAGACATAACATTAATCCTTTCAGAATACAGAACTCACATACATAAGAAAGCCAACAATTGAATTGTCTCATGAGAGCATAATTAAATATTAATTCCTAAAACATATATATAATATACATTGGTTTTCTACACCGCACACATCTACTTTATATATTGGCCCTCACCTTAAGTTACCACGTGTAAGACACTGGCATAAACTTTACACGTCATTCCACATCATTGAATTTTATTTTACAAGAACAATGCTTGAAAACTAACATAGAGGTGCATTTAGGTGACAAAAAAATATTTGGCCCAACAAATAAGGAAGGAGCTGCATTAACGGATATAGTCCTAAATAATCTCAGTCATAATTTGCATCAACTGACTGAACTGCTCACAAATATATATTCTCATACTTGGTGTCATCAGCTATGTCATCTATATGCATATTGCTACTGGGTATAGTAATTTTTTGTTAGACAAATTGCAAAAAATCCATCTCAATTCTTTAGATACCCCTAGTGAATAAACTATCGAATATTGCAAATATGACCATTCCCTCAACCGACTGTTAATGGTCATATGAATGACTTTTATAGCACTGTATAATGAATATATATATATAATGTAAAATAAATAAATAAATAACTAAATAGTAAAACAATTTTATAAATTTGTTCTAAAAAAAGTTGTTTGAACAAATTTGATGGGAGTTGAATTTTTTAACGACTTCGAATCAAAAGTAATAGGAAATGACTTTTATACACGTGTGATATTTTTTGCTCCTGTTTTTTAATGGTCAACTAACCTCAGGGGGTAATTAATTTGAAGGTTTTCACTAAATACAAAAAGTTTTTTTTTTTTTTTTTTGCTAAAGCAATATTTAGAGGGGTTACCTGTCTAAATATAAATATAATAGCTGAAGGGTGTTTTTTGATGTAGTTTTGGTTATCGATCTTGGGGTGTCCAATGGATACACATGGTAAAAAATTTCCTTCAAAAAGGATGCAAGGACATGCCTACCAAATCAAATTGTTTCAATGTAAAATATTGGACAACATAGGAGAGAGATGAAGAAAATACCCGATGAATAAATATATTTGAAGCCTTCGGAAATGGAAAGAGGGGATCCAGGAGACGTAGTTACATCATCTATCATCTTCTCTTCAATTACTTCTTTGTTAATGTTTCTACGCATTCTCACTTCACGCTGTACCAAAGAAGATTTCCTCAAGTCATTACCCTCCGGACTAATAATTGGTCTCGCGATGCTTTTCTTATCTATTGCCACCATAATGGTAGCTTTTGGTGCCACTCTTGTTATTGTGCTTGCCAGATGAATAAGATGGGTGGCAGCTCCAGTCACTTTGCTTGCTAGTTTCCCACTAACCTTATTCTTTTTACAGCAATTTCCCCTGTTTATTGACATGGTCTCATCTACTTATGGACGCGGTATCTTCAACTGGAAAACAAAATGTTCCTTCTTCAACAACCCAAATGACTATGTTCCAAAAAAAACAAATAACCGATGTTCCTGATCCTGCAACACAAGGTGAGGTATAATTAATATGCAATAAATGATCATGGTGAAAGTATTTATTATGTTTGTTTCCTTTGTGTTTGTTGCTTCTATTTCTTGGCTGTGATGTCCTTTCTAGCTTTTGTTTTTCGGGTAGACTTGGGGTTTCCATGACCTTGTGTATTTGGCTTTGCAATTGTTAATTAAATAAAATTTCTTAATGCTTACCTTTTCAAAAAAAAAAAAAAAAAAAAAATTCTTATAATCCCTATTTGTATAATTCTTATAATGTTTAAAATAATCCCTATTTGTACTTGTAAATTATGTGGGTGGTGCTTCAAGTAAAATAAGAGCGTGCTTATATTTCTGAAAGATGAAATGGGTATTCTTTCTTAATCTTTTTCTTAGGGTTGCCAGACCAATTATCAATATGAATATCCTTTCTTAATCTTTTCCTTACGGTTACGAGACCAATTATCAATGTGGTTTACTTTTCTTATTCCCCATAACAAAGCAGGATTCAACCTCGGGACTTCCTCAACAATTTCGACATTCCTACATTTGATGGCTCTTTTTATAGCCTCATATTATACTCCAACATGGTTAGAATCAAAAGTCCATTTGGGGAACACATATAGCTGAGTAGTTTATAGGCTTCTTGTTAAAAAAAAAAATTTGCTTGAACAAATTTGATGAGATTTGAATTTTTCAACATCTAATCAAAGTCATATGAAATAACTTTTATACACCTGTGATGGATTTTTTTGTCCCTTTTTTTAAAAAATGGTCAACTAACTTCAGGGGGTAATTTGCAGGTTTCAGTAAATACAAAAAGGGTTTTTTTTTTTTTATCTATTTATTGCCAAAGCAACATTTTAATTAGAAGGTTATCTGTCTAATATAATAGCTGAAGGGTGTTTTCTGGTATATATTTGGTTCCAAGGAATAGACATGGCAATTATTATTATTATTATTATTATTTTCTTCATAATTTGGCAAAATTTCCTTTTCACAAAGGATGCAACTACATGCTTACCCAATCAAATTGTTTCAATGAAAAATATTGGACAATATGGGAAGAGGAATCAAGAAATTACCGGTTGAATGAATATAATTGAAGCCTTCGGAAATCAAATGAGGAGATCCGGGAGATGTAGTTACATCATCTACTATCTTATCTATCATCTTCTCGGTGCACATAGAATAGACACCAATACCTACCAGAAAGAAAAAGAATAATAATATCATTTGATAGAAACACATCTGATCAAAATTAATATTCCAAGAAATAATGGAACACAAAGATAAAAGCAGAGGACTTTGAAATTTAATGATTGCAGAAAAATATCATTGGGTAATTCCCGGATAACAAAGTGCAGAACCCACGAACCGGAGGTGGCGCGTGGAGGGACTGAGAGGCGGTGAGGGCGGTGTTGATGGTGGTGGTCGTCGGTCATGAAATTGAACGGTGAGGAGAGCGCAATCCAGAGTAAAGACCACGATCTTGAGTTCTGAACTCCTCAACTCAGACTTCCAAAACTTCTGTGATTTCTGTATCTGATATATATATATATATATATGCGTGTGTGCGCGCGCGCGCGCTGAAATTTCAGTGAAATTTTCATCTTCTCAAATAACCCGTAAGGTTAGGTATTTAAAGAAATAAAAAATCAATTTTTGTCATGAAATTTCGAATGAGTTGATTCTAGAGGTTAGGTCTTTTCCAATTTAACATAGGGATTAGGGAGGAAAAGGTGTCAGTTTTAACTAAGTTTTTATGCCGCGTGTTATGTTGGAGAAGGACCACTCTGTCCCCACCGATCGACCCACATCAATTTTGGTTTTTTTTTTTTTTTTTTTTTTTTTAGTTCATCCGAGATATTCGGAATAGCACGAACCCTTAGAGCTCTTTCAACAATCTGACTAATTCCCGAGAACTCAGAAGGGCACCTCCCCACTCGGGCCGAGTAAGTCACTGCAGGGATAGAGGAGGCTAACCACAAAGAACACCCAGCGGGACTCGAACCCGAGACCTTGGGCTTACTAAACTCCAAAGTCCAGTGAGTAAATCGCTATACCATATCCGAAATGGATTCAATTTTGCTTCTTCTTATAGCTCCACTCGTTTTTTCTTTCGACCATATTTTGATTGTTCCTTGTGTACACGTACACAACTAGGGATGGCAACGGGGGCGGGTTTGGGCGGGTGTACCCTCCCCCGTCCCCACAACCATTTAAAAATCCCGCCCCCGTCCCCACCCAAAACCACAAAAAGAGGAAAACTTTCCAACCCATCCCCGTAACCGTTTAACATTTTTACTCCCGCAGGTACCCGCTTCGCTCCGCCTCGTTTAAGACTATAATTTAATTATTGTTGAAATAGATTTACTTCTTTTTTTTCCCTCATCTTCAATTCTTCACCATTGCAACTTTCCTTTTAATCAAATTCATTTGTTACTTTAATATTGTTATATGGGGTACTTAATATATAGTGGTAAATATATATACTAATGAAATAAGGGTACTTATGTAATTTGCCTATCTAAACGGGGCGGGGCGGTGTAGGGCGACCTCCCCCCGTCCTCACACCAAATCCGCGCGGATTTTTATTACATCAAACCATCCCCGCCCAAATAAGCAAAACGGTCTCCCAAAACTGCCAGAAACGGGGCGGGGTGAAACGGGTAACAGCGGGGGCGGGTCAAATTGCCATCCCTATACACAACATATGACACTTTTTATAATTAGGTACAGAGGTCAAGTCATATCAAGTTCATAAACTCATTACAATAGGACAAAAATTCTCTCGGTGTGGCCCACAATGGGCCACGTCATTTAAAAAAAATTGTTCAAAAAGTAACTCCGAGTTACTATATATTTACTATGTATGTAGTGTATATAGTTTATAATCCCCCTTTCTTTATATATTATATAGTGTGTATATACGGTAATATTATATAGTGTATACATTTTCTGAAATCCCCCCTTCTGATTTCATTTCCCTCCCAAATTGTTGTCTAGGTTATGGAATTGTAAAAAAAGGAATTGGAAGATGAATTGGAAGAAGAACGCCAAGGAAGGAATTGGAAGTTGGAACACAAGGAATTGGAAGACAAATTGGAAGAAGGGCGTTGAAGGAATTGGAACGGCAGTAGAACACATCATTGATATAGTGTATATTTTATGAAATCCCCCTTTCTGCATAGGAAGAGAAATTAGAAGAAGGGCGCTGAAGAAATTAGAACAGAAATTGGAAGAAGGGCGCTGAAGGAATTGTAAGGGCACTGAAAATCCTAAAGTGAAGTCGTGGTTCGTCCAAGTGTTCATCATTGAGTAAGAGCTTTTGAAGAAAGGTTTGAGCTCTATTTACGGGTTGTTATTCATAAATGACTTCTTTTTTCAATGCAAGAAATAGGTTAAGGTATTTATTGTTATAAAGGACCTAGGATTTGTATTTTTCATTATTTCAGTGTTTTACATATGAATTTGTGAATCGTATGAAATTATTTTTCATTACTTTCGTGAAGTGTTATTAAATTGTGGAAAAATGAATGCAAAATTCTAAAAATTTTATTCATGATAAATACTACAAAATAGTTGGGATATTCTATATTATAAGTTATGTTAGGTTTTAAAGTTCCAATTTAAGATGTTAGAATAAATTTTTCATTCTATTCCTAAGGCAGTGTTTTATTCATGATAAGTACTATAAAATAGTTGATGTATTCTCTATTATACGGGATGGATGTTTTACACTTCCAATTTAAGATGTTAGGATAAATTTTTCATTTTATTCCATTATGCCAATGTTGGTTGTAGTTTTTAATTTTTTTTTTTTTGGTAAATGATTTCAATTAAAAGAAACAAAAACTGTACAAAGGAGGGGCAAAAGCCCAAGCCTAAAGGCAGCAACCTAGAAAGGTCACAAACAACCCAGCCCATGCACAAAAACAAAGCTGTTGCAGCAGCAACTAAAAGCAAAAACACACAGTTGCAGCAACAACGAACTCTAAACCCTCATTAATCACTATGGAACACTGAACTAGGAAGACTCCACGCAGTTGCAATGGTCCTCGCAGTCTTCGAATCATGCAATTTGCAGGACATAAGATGATTTGTAACATTGGTGTAAATCAATTTTGTGACCGAAGTAGTGGAAGCCATTAGGTTCATGGCATTTCGCTTATTCTTCTCTCTCCAAATGAAATAATAAACTGAAGTAGTAAGGCATAATTTGAAGACATAAGCATCCAGAGCCTTGGTACCATCCTTCCACATAGACACAATCTAGTTGGTAATCTCATATAAATTGAAATCTCCAACATAGATCCTCCAGAGGTGTTGGAAGAACATCCATATCTCTAAAGCAAATTTGCACTTGAAGAAAAGATGCATGCTGATGACAAATAATGATCACCTCCAGTTGCATAGTAATCCATTTCTTCCATTTTTGTAAGTAAAAGTACATTCCAACATTTCTGTTAGGTGCATCCCAACATTTTCCTACTATGCATCCCAAACATGGGTGACGTGGCCATTTCTGAACCACTCATTCCAAAATGAAGTAAATGGCACACTATTTCACTGGAGGTGATTTTCACCTTGCTGATGACTCTCGGCAGCAGCAAGGCATAATTTATGCAGGACCAATGAAGTAATTAAAGCTTGGGTAGTGTATTAATATGAAACAACATATCAAAGCCCAAATGAAGACAAAACAACCTGGGCCCAATGGGTGGTTTGAGTCAGAGGAGAACCCACAACAGATAATTGGGCCCAAAGACTTGTTTTTTCCCTGCCTTGTTGCGGTCAGCCATCTGATGGTGTTGTTTTCTCACTTTTGTAGTTATAGGGCTAAGACCACTTTGGCGATAGTCTATAATGGGGTATTGAATATCTCAATGTTTATTTATTTAGGATAAAATCTTTTGAATTATCTAATATCTAAAATAAATTTTAACGAAACTAAAATGCAAAACTTTGCGATATTTGTTGATGCAAGAATCTGTACGCTCTGGAGCCCTTGGCTATTCCTGCAAGACAAGAGAAGTGATGACCGGTGTGGTGCCGGCCAAGTGCACTCTGACGGTTAAGTTAGTACTTGACGATTCAATATCCGATAACAATTACATATGAAATTTATGGCGTACCTTTTTAGGTTGACCTATGGCGTACCTTTTTTGGTTGACCGATCACTTTTTTTATAGAAGCATTAATGGTTGTAGTTGTTGAAGAGAAATTCTCCCCGATCCAAAATGATATCGTTTCCTTTTTATAAGAATTGTAACTGTCGTTACATATGGTAACCAGAGATTTTTTATGATTCCATAGAGATTTTGGGGAGGATAAATCCCTTACCCTTATCTTATTTCTCATTTGAATTTGAGTTGTTCCTTATCTATACCATTTGAGTCTCCATATCACTTAAAATTCTTATATAGTAGAATATTTCGTATCAGTAGCCCCCCATTCCCGAAATCTTGCTTATCAAGTATCGGGAATGCCAAGTCCTTCCAAGCTAAGCATGCTTGATGATTACTTTCTTGCCCCTTTTAATAAGGGAGTGGATTTGCTCGAGCTTTATGAGCTCACCCTTTAATAAGGGAGTAGTTAACCCCTCGTCTCTTTAGTAAATGAATAAGCTTTAATTATCTCACCCTTCTGTGTAGAGGGAGTAGTCAGATTCTTGTCCCTTTAATGAGGGAACCTTTAATAAGGTGTAGTCGGCCTCTCGTCCCTTTAATAAGGTAAGTAAATTAATACGAGTTTCACTCAGCTCACCCTTTAACAAGGGAAGTAGATTACTATGAGCTTCACTCAGCTCACCCTTTAACAAGAGAAGTAGATTATTATGAGCTTCACCCAGCTCACCCTTTAACAAGGGAAGTAGATTCTCCAAGCTTCATGAACTTATCCTTTTAATATGGGGAGGTTGATCCTTTTGAATTCTTTTTAATAAGGGAGATTAATTTTCCTGAGTTTCGTGTTACTCTAACTCTCCATAGGATTTTGAATCCTATATTAGGTGCCCCCATTCCATTCCCGTGCTTGCACATCAAGAGACGAGCGATTGATAAAAGTCAAGAGTAAAATCAAAGGTGCTCAAGGAACAAACACCTAAATAGGGGCACTGTTCAAAGTGGTTTGCCTTGATTACCTGCACTATAAGCATTTACAAACTACCCTTGTTGGGGCTATATTAGTTTTTGCCAGCTTAGGGACAAGTATGATAAACACATAATTTTAACAAATGAAATGAGCTAGTTTTGACATTAACCACGACGCGACAATTTGGTAAGCGTATGTAATGTGTCATTCATGGTAGACATGAACTGATCAGGTACTAAAACATTATGGGTCTTATATTTCAATTAGAAATCAAAATAATTCCCTGTTTCCCATTAGAAGGTTTTCACCAAAACTTTCATATTTGAAAGAGTATGCAATGATGGGGCTCATGTCCAAGAAAATATCACTGGAGTTGTAATGCTATTTGTCTTCCTCTTGGAATTAAAGATTATTTCAAATGTAGTTCAAAGAACAATATACTGTATTAAATCAAATATAAGAATTCCATTTATTTTCTTCCTATAAAGCAATTCAATCATGATATTTTAATTTTGCAGTGTTAAAGAATTAGTATATAATGAATTCCCTTTCGAGGGCCGAGAAGTCTAATCCCATGCCATGTATGAATACTTGACTGCATATATATATAACAGATAGAATTTCTACCACATTAGTTATCGTTTACAAACGTGGCCATGAAACACCTGGGATCCCATTCCAAACCCCGAAATACACCAACATGAAATGTGCAATTCATTAATAAAATTCCAATTAGTCTAATATTGACCCAAATAAAATAAGCATTTTTATTTTATTTATTTTTTTCGGCCTCTGTACAAAGATCTTCAATGAGACATACATTCCATTAGATTTGTGGTATTGGGTAAAATTTTATGTGATTTAGTAAACAAAGCATAAATTCCATCATTGCTAAAGTATCTATATAATTCAATGAAGAATGAGAAAAAACCATTTTCACCAACAAGTGAAGATGGTACTGTTCAGTCCTTTCAGGGGGGAAAAAAGGAAAAGAAAAGAAAATGACAAAAAGAATAAAGAAGGAAGAACAGACATAAGATGTACATCAATGATAACAAGAAAATGCGCCATCACAACCTGCCTAATTGGATGGCCATGATGCTTGTACAGTATGGTGTCAATTGGAATTTATGTTGCTTGTATTTAATAATTTACAATTCTTCCATACATAACAGAGTAAAACATTATAAGTCCTTAGACCACATTTAACGCATCAATTAATTATTTATTACATGGTCCCTTCAATTTTTGTTGGGGGAGGGGGAGATGGTTGGAACTTATTTTGACATGGGTTCAAAAAGTTTCTCCTTGTCCCTTTATGTTGTGCAATAAAGTACGAACAAAAGATAACTCAAATTACAAATAGTTTACTCACATCTTACAAGGTATAACTTCTTCTTTCAAAGTTCTCCACTTTTTCACATTCTTGTGGCATTTCTAAAACTATATGGAGATTTCTGCTTATAAATATATGTCTTTCTAATTGAGCCTGGACTAGAAAATTTTACTTATAGAACTAATTTACCAGTTTCCTCATTGTGCCCACTACTCTGCCTTCATGGTTAAACCAGATATATGAAGTCATGACATTGCAAGCTTGTACCCATATATGATGGATTAAATTGTTAACTATGATCTAATCTAACTCATGCTCATAGAAAGAAAAATGATCTGTATGTGCTCATCTGTGTAAAATATACTAGATATATATTTATACAAGATACGTAACAGAGTAAAGAATTGGATTTATAGAGTTTGAATCAACCATAAATTTGATAAAATGTAATAGACACGGGTAGAGTTGACTGTACGTACCCATTTTCTTAGTTGTAGATATCAATGGAAACAGAAATTTGATCGTCACTAAACTCATGATATATATATTTTTTTGTGATTGATAATGAACGAAACGTTGGAGTTGGCCAGTGTTGCTAACAAAGGCCAAGAACACGAACAACGTTATAGATCAATAATTTCTAGATCGTAATTTGTTGCGACTAACACACGTTTTCCACAGACGGTGCCAACTGTTGATGCAAGAATCTGTACGCTTCGGAGCCCTTGGCGATTCCTGCAAGACAAGAGAAGTGATGACCGGCGTGGTGCCGGCTGGGTGCACTCTGACGGTCAAGTTAGTACTTGACGATTCAATATCCGATAACAATTACCTATAAAATTTATGACGTACCTTTTTAGGTTGACTTATGGTATACCTTTTTAGGTTGACCAATCACTTCTTTTATAAAAGCATTAATGGTAGTAGTTCCGATCCAAAATGATATCGTTTCCTTCTTATAGGAATGGTAACTATCGTTACACATGGTAACCAGAGATTTTTTATGATTCCATAGAGATTTTGGGGAAGATAAATCCCTTACTTTTATCTTATTTCTCATTTGAATTTAAGTTGTTCCTTATCTATACCATTTAAGTCTCCACGTCACTTAAAATTCTTATATAATAGAAAATTTCGTATCAATATTTAAAAGTCGGGTGTCTCACAATAGTGGTAGGACTCTCACCCGTTGTTGTGAGAGCCACCACCCCTGTGAGATACCAAACAGTCGGATGTCGCAACTAATTATCATTGCTCAAAAACACACCAGCCACATAAAATTAGGTAGGGTCGAATAAAAAATATATATCATCTATCAAGGAAAATGAGTTGAACTGAACTCCACAAGTAGAGACCCAATATAAGTGGCTTAATAGGATCTGGTCACAGGCTTTGAATATGTTGAGCTCAAAGGGCTTGACGGGCTTCTACAAGTAGGCCAGGCCCAATTGCTGATACATATGGATGGGTATGGGGTTGGCATTCTCCATTTTTCAGTATTAGTTGAATTCCATTATCACGTAATCAAACAAAAGCATTTAATAGTCAATGATAATTGTAACCATTAGATTTATCTCCAGGAAATAATGGAGAAGATAAAGTAGGAGACGATTTCAAAAACACTATTCTTACATTAATTTGGATTGGGTCAATTTTATTTCATATATTTATTATTATTTATAAATAATAAATGACTATTCCGATGTACGTGATGAAATTAATTTTTAATATTTAAATTCTAATCTTAATTTTAAAAAGAAATTACAGAAAAATCAAAAACAATTTTTTTATTTTTTCATTTTTCAAAGCAAAATATGCCAATGGGTTGTCCGAATTTTTCATAAACATGTTTATATGAAAAATGATATTTACGCAGGCAGATAGAGTTGCGACTTCGCAACCAAAAATATTGTCCAGATAGAGTTGTAAGTTTATGGCAGCAATCATAAACTAACCACAGCCCAAAGACTTTTTAAACTACAAGAAACTCATTCATCTGAAACGTGATTTTTTTTTTTTAAAAAAAAAAAAAAAAACTAAAAGAACAATATATAAAAATGCTAAAATTATCGAGATAATTTAAACAAAAATCATCCGGTATCTTACAATGAAATAAAATATAAAAAAATTCAAATGATTTCAAAAGAAATGTCAAAAGGCTCTCGTGCAGAAGAGCTAAAGATGAACTGCTACAACAAAAACTGTATGTTATAAATGAGGTGGTGGTTCAACATTTTTTGTTTTGGTTAATTAATGGGACTCCTGAAGCTCATTGTCGGCACTAGGTGAAACAAGGCTCTCAACATAAGTATCCACTTCGAGAAAAGAATGTAAATTAGGAATGGAAGGATACCTAAATGTACTCTCTTTTGAATCATTTAACTCTAAAGATAATCTGATTTCCAACAAAATTTCACCATTCATAGAGACGCACAATGGTACTGAGTACTGATAAAACCCGGGATCTGTCAAATAGGGGATGCTGATTAATTTAGTCCAAAAATCTTTCACACTATATTCTTTCATGACCTATACATCAGCACACATAGGCATCCTCTCAAAATCTCCAGCCACAAAATGTAATCACCATCTCCATAAAGACGATGGTTAGCATCACTGCAAACACCATCTCCGAACTTAGGTTGTGCCACCTCCTTGTATGTCTCCTTCGCTAAATCAAGGGAAACAATCACCCAAGAATAATTTGATCCGGTACTGACTCCAACAGACCAATGGAGAGCTTCGTCCCGGTAAAGCCCCCAGGCGGCGTATTTTTTTGAAACGAGGTCCTCGGTAACGCGACATAAAGACTCCTTATTCTTATTTATATTTAATTTTTTTTTATTTATTGAAATTTCATTTTACAGAATAAACCTAAACTAGGAGACACCTATATTGGTCCAATCAAAAATGATTCTATCATTTCTGTATCCGCAATTCAATATAGATGGGTATATACCCCATATATGTCTCTCTTTCTTTTAACTTTTCCATGCAATTTCGAATACTTGAACGGTCGATTCTTCTTTTTCGTCTTAACTTCCGCCTTTCCGAATGAAAGCGGAGGAATGTCTTATTAGTAGATTCCAGAGGTTTCTCCCAGGAGAAGTCCTGAATCCTTCTCCAAGTATCAGTCCTTGATGTATAGACCTTCACTTGGGGAACCAAACGACTTGTGCCACGAAAGAATCCTACCACCTTGTAATCAAGAATGAACTCATCATAACCAAGCCCATATATCCCTACCCTCATGCCTGAATCCACCAATCTCTTGGATTTTATAAGAGATGGGTTCCATATGAAAACTTCATCTTTTATATTTATACAGAGCAACCCATTACAAGAATAGATATATGGAATCAAAATACATTTACTGAAAAATATTGATAAATTATTTAGAAATTTATACCAATATATACACAATTCTAAGAATAGATATATGGAATCAAACACCACTTTCAGAATAAAAACAATTTATTTCCTTCTCGGCGCTAGGTGACAATTTATAGCATAGAAGGTTTTTAGAAGAACAAGAGGGTTATTTGCAAAAGCAGAATAGTTCTTTTTAACATTTTTCAATTACCACATAGACGATCTAACTCCCTTGCAAACTATCATATTCCTAATCCATTTCTATATTCATCTTAGGATTAACAATAATTGCTAAAGGTGTTATCAAATTTGCCACTGAAGCAATAGGCAAATTAAACAAGAAAAATGCAAAACAATCACGATAATACAATGCAATAGCACATGTAGATACAACATGATTGCATTTACTTTAAATTGATTAATTTTGCAACTTATTTTGTGAAACCTTAAGAAAGAAATAGAAATTCCTCTAACAATACAAGTCTGAAATTAATATTAATTACCCACATTACCTAAAAGAAAATTAAATAATTATAAGAGCTCAGGAAAAGGAAAAAAGAGCAACGAGTCACAAAATTCTGCTTGAACATTCACTTCAAGTCCCAAATTTAAGCATAAAACTGAAAGACATTAGCCACCACAAGTTTCATTTGCTAATTGTTTTAGGAGATCCTTATTTCTTTATAAGCTACTTTTATCTACCCATACACATAATCAAGCAAAAAAAAGTCACTAAACATAATATAGCTTTCATAAAAGTATTTTGCATACCATAAATGCAGTATTAAATGAATTATACAGTGCATTACAAAAAGCAGGGAAAGAATAATAAAAGATAATCAAAATCTGATCTTACCTTTTCTATTGAAAAATTGTTAATTAATGGTACTCCTGAAGCTCATTGTCAGCACTAGGTGAAACAAGGCTCTCAACATAAGTCTCCAATTGGAAAATAGAGCCGCTATAGGAAGGAAACCTCAATGTATTCTTTTTTAAATCATATATAATTAGAGAATCTAATACCAACAGAATTTCACCATTTTTAGAAATGCACAATGGTAGCGAGTACCCAACCTCCACCGAATCTGTCAAATAGAAATAGAAATAGGGATAGGGGATGCTGACTAATTTAGTCCAAGAATCTCTCACACCATATTCCTTCATGACCCATAGATCAGCACGAGCACGAGTTCCATGGTAGTTACGCTGCACACATAAGCATCCTTTTAAAATCCCCAAATACAAATTGAAATCCTCATCTTCAGATTCTTCACCATCTTCAGATTCTTCACCATCTTCATACTTAGGTTGCGCCCCCTCCTTGTATGTTTCCTTTGCTAAATCAAGAGAAACAATCTGACCATCTTCAGATTCTGCAACATCTTCGTACTTAGGTTGCGCCACCTCCTCGTATATCTCCTTTGCTAAATCAAGAGAAACAATCACCCAAGAATAATTTGGTCCCCAAACAGGCCAATGGAGAGCTTTGTTCGCAAATTTACCAGAACCCAAAGGTGGTTGCTTACAAGGGAAGTCCTGAATCCTTCTCCAAGTATCAGTCTTTAATGTATAAACCATGACTTGGGGAACCAAAAAACCTGTACGCCAAAAGACTCCTACTACCTTGTAATCAAGAATGGACTCATCATAACCAAATCCATATGTCCCCACACTCATGCCTGAATCAGGCAATCTCTTGGATTTTCTAATGGATGGGTTCCATATGAAAACTTCATCTAGAAATTTTATACAGAGCAACCCATTACAAGAACCCACGAACGAGAACTCACGATGCATATTCTTCAAATGCAATGCAAGATCGGGCTTAAAGGATTTCTCATACAATACAGAATAAAGAGACCAAGACTCGAGAAGATAACCATCACAAGGACTATGCGAAATGATTTTGTAGTGCTTATAATCATCTTCTTCAGATCTTGACATACAACTAAGATGGGTTTTAACGAAATTCGAATCGGAAATCAAAGAGCACCATGATTTGCAAACACACCTGAATCGTAACAGAGACTTGACGGGTAGTCTGGAGAGTATTTGGTCGATGATTTCATGCGAAAGGTAGTTCGGTAATTGCTTTGAATTTTCAGTTCTATCCTCTCTCTTCTTCTTCGTCTGTTCTTCCCCTTCTTCTCCTCCTCGCTTCGACATTATGGCGTATGTCCAAAAGAAGTTGCCAAATCAACCAAATCTGGTAAATCAAAGTCGAAATCTCGCCCGCCGTTGCCTGCAAATCGAGCTCGACGACAGCGGATGGATACTCGTAGGATTTAGGGTTTGATAATTTGGGGCTGACCGAAAGGCTACGGTTTCTATAATCCCTTTAAGGCTATGTTTGATAACAGTTTTAAAGAAAAGAAATAATATCATTATTTATTTAAGGACAAATTTCTCAAAACCTTTAATACTATCAAAAAATGATCATAAAACCCCCCAATCAGTTTAAAAAATCCCCCAACAATATAATAATGTTATCATTTTACCCCAACTCTGTCAATTGGGGCCGTTAACTCAGCGTGTGATTAACAATTGCTTTGCCAAAGTGAATTTTATGACCAAAATACCCCTAGAGTAAAATGTGCCAAACAAGTGAAATATATTTATACGTGTTATTCCGAAAATACCCCAAAACTTGTTACAGTTAAAACCCACAGTTTAGTCATCTTCTCTCTCTTGCTTTTTATTCTTTCTCTACTCGCGACCATCTCCGCTCACCCTTCCGGACAGGCTTAACTACATATACTCACTTTAAACAACAATCATGAAGTTTAGATATACAAACCAATATATAGATAAACATCTATATAAAGCAAAACACACACACACACACACACACACACACACACACACACACACACACACACACATATATATATATATAAACCATTGAAAGAGAAGGAAAATCAGGAATTAATTTGTCAACTTGGATCTCTTGCTTTTTGAACCTAATTGGGTCGGGTCAGCGGATGGCCTGAATTACCGAGTTGGAAGCGAGTCAACTCACTTGGATTTGAACATTGGCCAAATCTTGAAAACAGAGTCGTCGACGTCAGCTGCTCTATGTTAACGACCGATCCCTATCTAACTAACTTACAAGTCCACTAACTAACAGATAAACGACTTGGCTCAAGAAGTAGAGAGAGAAATTAATTATTTGTAAAGAGAGATTGAAGTCCGTCCTCTACATATAGCAGACCTAGATCACCATACGCATATACAGTTTTTTATTCAGTTGATCATTTTCTCTGTAACACAAAAAGCTCTGAAAGAAGAACAAGAACGAAAAGGAAAGATCGACAATGGCGGATTACGATCCACGTCGCTTCTGCCAAATGAAGTTGCAGTATTTGACAGACTCTTCGAAGTCGAATTGGAACCGAGAAACATTCAACCGCGCGTAAACACGCGATTGCTTGCATTCAGAAAGTACGTAAGAGTGCAGATGATGATCGGCCATGGCTTCCATAGATGAACACGATAACTAAACCTGTAATTTCTTAGATCGGCCATGGCTTCCACAGATGAACACGACAACTTCGTTTTCATGGAACCCTAGCCTCTGCGGGGAGATCATCGACAAAACATGCGGTTCCAGCACTTCCTCGTTCTTCGACTCATCCTCCGGCGCCGCCGCCTCGCCGCCTACGACTCTTCTCCAGAACGCACAAGGAGTGGTTATCTCGCCGCCGTCGCCGAAGAAGCACAAGAGAATCGGAGTGATTATACTCTTGGTCATCGCAATTCTAATCCTCATTGCAGCTAATCTATGTTGCTTCGTGTTGATAAAAAAACGACAACACCAAATGTTATTGTCAAAATCAACAATGTCTAGTCCTGAGAATGCAAATACTGATGCTACAAGCAACAACACATTGATTGTTGTAGAGAATGAATCATAAGTTAAAGAGAAGACAACCCAGATTCAGATTCAGGGTGTTCAACAACGCCGTGAAAAGAGTGGATATTTAGGGTTCTGTAGCGGCAAAGTAGAGATGTATACTCTGGAGCAGCTGATGAGGGCTAGCGGAGCTGGTCGGGAGGGGTATGATGGGGGACGACGTACAAGGCAGTGATGGATAGTCGGCTGATCTTATCAGTGAAAAGGGTCCATGCCAGCTAAACTGCGTAATACCGGTGTAACAATACACACACACACACACACACACACACACACTTGTTCAATGAATCAAACGATAGCGTTTTAAGTCTAATACAACTGCTGCCTTGAATGAAACGACGGAGTTTTGATGTCCAACTATGTTGGCACTAAACGCTGTCGTTTTGTGCTAAAGGACAATATTGTAATTTTTAAAATATAATTTTTTGATTTTTTAAACAAAAGGAAATATAATAAGGGTAATTTAGTCATTTCACATACTTTTAACAGCCAATTGCCAGAGTTGGGGTAAAATGATAACGTTGCTATATTGTTGGGGGTTTTAAAAACTGGTTGGGGTTTTATGATCACTTTTTAATAGTTTTAGGGGTTTTGAGAAATTTGCCTTTTATTTAATAGTGATATTGAATCGTCTAACCTAATGTTGTAATTTTAAATTTGTTATTTATAGCGTTTCAGTATTTTAATATTTATTTATTAATATAAAAAAATATTTATTATTAAATGTGTAAAGAGTTTTAGTATTTTAGTTGTTCAGTATTTATTTAATAATATAAAAAAATATTTATTAATTACTTTAATAATTCAGTATTTATTTACTAATATAAAAAAATATTTATTAATTAATATAAAAAAATTATAAAAAGAGTTTCTATAAAACTCTAACACAAGTTACCTAATAAAATTTCAGTTACTTATTTTATTTTCTATAAAACTCTATCACATATGACCTATATATATATATTAGGTCCTGTTTGTGGTGTGTATATTTTTTCCTTTCTCTTTATAATTGGTTTCTTTACTTTTTCTTTTTATAAGCATTATTATTATGTTATTATTATTTTTTTCTTTCTAATTGATGTTTATTTTTAGAAGTAGTTGATTTGTTTTATTTTTATTTTCTCTTTCTAATTGATGTTTAGAAGTGGTTGATTTTTTTTCTTCATTTTATTATTTTTGGTTCATTCTTAATTTATTATTATTTTGAGTCATTATTGTTTTTTTTTTTTTCTTTTTCAGAAGTATCATTCCTATTTTTTCTTTAGTTTTTATTTTTATTTTACTCTTTGTAATCATACTTTGGATGGTTCAAAATTTATTATTCTTAATTTGTTGGATTGTTAAATTTTTTTCTTTACTTTTTCTTTTTAGAAGCATTATTATTATTTTTTCTTTTATTTTATTTTTATTTTTCTCTTCTTAATTGATGTTTAGAAGTAGTTGATTTGTTTTATTTTATTTTTCGCTTTCTAATTGATGTTTGAAAGTGGTTGTTTTGGTAAGTTTTTACTTTGGATTGTTATTTTTTCTTTTTATTTTTTATTTTTTATTTTTGATTCATTTATAATTTATTATTATTTTGAGTCATTGTTGTTATTTTTTTTCTTTACTTTTTATTTTTCAGAAGTATCATTATTCTTTTTTCTTTAGTTTTTATTTTTATTTTATACTTTATAAGTTTACTTCGTATTGTAATTTTTTTCTTATTTTTTATTTTTTGATATTCTTTTTTCTTTAGTTTTTATTTTTATTTTATTCTTTATAAGTTTCTTTGGATTGTAATTTTTTTTCTTCTTATTTTTTATTTTTTGTTCATTCTTAATACAGGTTTTAATGTTTTTGGGTTTTCGGTTGGACTTGATTATTAAATGAATTTGTTGCTATAAATTTTTTATATGTTTTTTTTTTTTTTTCAATTTTTATTTATTTTTTATTTTTTAGTAACAAAAACTAAATTTGAGAATTCAAATTTTCAAATCAAATAAGTTGGTAGATTCTTTCCCTTTTCTTGATGTTCACTTTCATATTTCCAAAGGTGAAGGTCATGTTACCATTTCTACAATTGATCAATGCATTGGTAGTAGCTAAGAATACAAATTTCTATAATGAAATTAAAATAATTTCTAAAAAACATTACCACAAATTACTTATTTTATTTTCAATAAAACTCTGTCACATAATTCACATTAGACAATGATATATTTAAAGAGTTTATATAAAACTCTAACACAAATTACATATTTATCTATTTATTATTAGTTTTTTAATGATAGAAAATCTATTTAAAGAAAAATTATAAATATAAAAAAATATTTATTAATTTATATAAAAATAGATTTTTAAAAGAGTTTATATAAAAATCTAACACAAATTACCAATTTATCAATTTATGAGTTTTTAATAATAGGAAATCTAATTAGACCAGAATTATTAATATAAAAAAATATTTATTAATTGATATAAAGAGAGTTTTTAAAAGAGTTTCTATAAAACTCTAACACATATTATCTATTTATCGAGGTTTTTTTTTTTTTTTTTTTTTTTTTTTTTTTTTTTTTTTTTTAATAAAAGGAAACCAAATTAGAAAAGAATATATTTAAAGAAAATAAAATAATTTCAAAAAAATGTACCACAAATTAGCTATTTTATTTTCTATAAAACGCTATCACATTATCTATTCATTATGAGTTTATCCAAGGGAAAAAAATTATTAAAAGAAAATAAGATAATTTATATAAAACACGGCCACAAATTACCTATTTTATTTTCTTTAAAACTTTATCACATATATTTATTTATTATGAGTTTTTTTTAATAAAAGGAAATCTAATTATAAAAGAATATATTTAAAGAAAATAAAATAATTTTTTGAAAGAGTTTCTATAAAATTCTAACACAAAATACTTATTTATCTATTTATTATGAGTTTTTTAAGAAAACAAATCTAACTAGACAAGAATTATTAATATAAAAAAATATTTATTAATTGATATACAAATAGTTTTTAAAAGAGTTTCTATAAAACTCTAACACAAATTACTTATTTATCTATTTATTATGAGTTTTTAATAAAAATAAATCTAATTAGATAAGAATTATTAATATAAAAAATATTTATTAATTGATACAAAAAATTAAATAATTTTTCTAAAACTCTACCACAAATTACCTTTTATTATGACTTTTTTAATAAAAGGAAATCTAATTAGACAAGTTATTAATATAAAAAATAGTCTATAAAACTCTACCACTAATTAGTTATTTTATTTTCTTTTAGTATTTTAGTATTTATTTATGAATAAAAAAATATTTATTAATTGATATAAAATGAATTAAAATAAAAGAGTTTCTATAAATAAAATGAATTAAAATAAAAGATTTCAAATCATTATTAAAACAACTAAAAAATAGGTAAAATTGGTAAGAGTTTAATA